CTACTGAGCCGACCTGTGACAGTCTCATTGTCACAGGTCGGCTAGAACTATGAGGTGAGTGAAAAGCACCCCCTCCCCCCCCACCTCATAGTTCTCCTTTAAACACTCAAAGAGCCATTTGGACCCCTGTTTCCCACAGAAAAGGATGTAGCATGGATCCTGCACAGCCCATCTGAGACATAGAGAGGTGGGCTCTACAGGGCCTCAGGTGGGCTGGTCGCGGGGGGTCCCTTTTTCTGTAGCTCCTCCCAACTTCTCTTACCTGCTTCTGCTGGGACCTGGCCTCCTCCACCCCCCTCCCCCTTTCACCTTTGCCATGCCGCCCCTGGTACAGCTGATACTCATGTAAGAGGCCCCCCCAGGCTGCCCAGACCCCCTCACATGAGTACTGGCTGTACCCCCCTGATGGCGGTGTTCTATCAAAGTTTGTGACTACGTTACAATGTGTGACCTGTGACGTGGTCACACATTTCAATGTAATCCCGCCCAGTTTTTTGGCGGCGGGATGTGTGACCGTCAATAGGTCAAGCATACCTTCTCAGCTGTTCGCAGGGCATATTGGCATTGCAAAGATGGTATGTGCAGGAGAACCGATGTGCCCTGGAACAGCTGCTCGGTCCTGAACGTCACTTCTATCCGACTCTGAGTGCGGTCTTACATTCCACCCCACTCAAGAGTCAGATATAAGTGACGTGACAGGGAGCCGCAGCAGAGGGATGAAAGGGCCACATGTGGCTCCGGGGCCGCGGGTTGCTGACCCCTGTCTTAGAACAATAACAGCCGTGTACCTGGTGATGGGGTTTAAAGGGCACCACACATGTTCTGACAACCACGTTCCGCTCCCACTGCCAGACCTATGGCCGCCTTTTGAGCCGATTGGCTGACTGCTTGGCTTTGCATACACGGATCCTATCTGCAGATACATTGATGGGGAATGTGTTGAGGTTTTGTACATTGCTGGTTAGGAAACATTTTTTTTTAAAAATGTTTTTGTGGAAGATCACGTTCTTATATTTTTGCTTTCTGCTTTGCAGCCAATAAATGACACTTTAGGCTCCTTGTTTTTTACATTTTAAAGGCTTTTGTTTCCTTATTTGATGTCTTTTTACACAGCTCGTCTCTTATTGGACGGGCTCAGATTTTTCCTGAAAACAGGCAGCTGTGTTGTCTCAGGAGATGGCCAATAGAACTTTCGGATATCTTATGTAATAAAACCCCATTGAGCCCTCCTATATTACTTGTAGACAGTCAGGTCACATACACAGGGATCGATATGCCATGTTGCTCTTTTAGGCTTTTGGTTTCTAAGTGCTGTTGCAAATAACCTTTTGTTGGCAGCGTGTTGGTGTCAGGCAGCTGCTTACACACTATTGCACCGTCACGGGGGTCTCAAGTGGTCTGACACTCTCCTCCTGCACACTACTCCAATCAACAGTGACGCTCAGGTAGCGAGAATACTGTTAATTGGATCACTTCGAGACCTGGTGTGTGTGTGCGCGTGCGCAGCAGTCCGGCTCTCCAGCGTGTGCGTGTGCGCGCGCGCAGCAGTCCGGCTCTCCAGCGTGTGTGTGTGCGTGTGCGCGCGCGCAGCAGTCCGGCTCTCCAGCGTGTGTGTGTGCGTGTGCGCGCGCGCAGCAGTCCGGCTCTCCAGCGTGTGTGTATGCGGCAGTCCGGCTCTCCAGCGTGTGTGTATGCGGCAGTCCGGCTCTCCAGCGTGTGTGTATGCGGCAGTCCGGCTCTGTGTGTGTGTGTGTGTGGCAGTCCGGCTCTCCAGCGCGTGTGTGTGTGAGAGAGGAGCAGTCCGGCGCGTGTGGCAGTCCGGCCCTCCAGCGTGTGTGTGTGTGTGGCAGTCCGGCTCTCCAGCGCGTGTGTGTGTGTGTGAGAGAGGAGCAGTCCGGCGCGTGTGGCAGTCCGGCCCTCCAGCGTGTTGCCAGCACAGGATATTTGACATAAAACTAGGAATGTCGTTGTATAGCCGGCAGTGATGCCTTTTCATTCTACCGTCCATGCATTGCTGGGACCGCAGACTGTCTGCCTTGTTATAGGATGTTGTTGTCTCCTGCAGCCTGAATGACAAGGTGAGGAAGAGGACTCTGACCTCCTTTGAGAGGGACACCGTGATGAGTAACCTGACGGGACAGCTGGACTATAAGGGCTTCGAGAAGGCGGACATGGTGATCGAGGCCGTCTTCGAGGACATTAAAATCAAGCACAAAGTGCTGCAGGAAGTGGAGGCTGTGAGTCCCGGGTCACCTTTCATGTCAGATCTGTATACGTGTGTGTATATGTGTATATGTATGTATATGTATATGTACAGTGGGGCAAAAAAGTATTTAGTCAGCCACCAATTTGGGTTTCCCCCCTCACTGTATATTCGCCAGTAACACATCCGCCCTCCCCATCGGTCAGATCGCTGCAATCAGTAAGAGACCGGACAAGGTGAGTCTGCTGTCTTGTTACACGAAGTGGCATCTGACGACCCGTCACGTAGTGTGCAGGAAGCATGGTGCAGCGTGGGATAGGGCAGGTATTACACCTTGTTTCTCTGCATTTAACCCTTTCTGTGTGAGCCCCACTGTAAGCTTCATTTTATTAATGTATTACTTAAAGGAGAACTATGAGATGAGCGATTTCCACTCCCCTCATAGTTCTAGCCGACCTGTGACAATGAGACTGTCACAGGTCGGCTCAGTAGATCGGGAGGTGAGCGAACACATACCGGCGTTCGCTCACCTCTCGATCCTGTCACGGCTCTCTGCCGTGACAGGGGAGGGGCTGGATTCCCCGCTCCGATCCTCCAGCGCTGACTGGCGAAACGGACGGGGGAGGGGGCGGGTACAGCTGGCTCTGCCTCTAGATAGGCAGAGCCAGCTGTCACTCATGCAGCTGGGCCGATCCCGTCATCTAAGTCGGGATCCGCTGCGGCGTCTCAGTATACCGCCAGCTACAGCTCCCTATATACTGAGCCTAGGGTAACGGGAGGACGCTAGTTTGTGTCCTCCCGTTACCCTAAGGAGAACTATGGGGAAAAACACTGACCCCATAGTTCTCCTTTAACCACCTCCCGTCCTGAACGGCCGGACGGGAGCCTTATAGGAGCGGGAGGGCGTCTTTAAGACGTCCTTCACCTCCCCCCACTCATGCGCGCTGCCCAGCGCGCACACGGGTGGGGATCTGTCGGCAATGTAAACTCTGTTACTGGAGATCAGAGGGAGTTCAGTACACGATCTCCCTCTGATCTCCAGTCCCTGAATGCAGGAAGTGGTGTGTATTACCTCACTTCCGCATTCAGTCTCCCTCTCCGGTTACAAATGCAGATCTCTGCTTCATCTCTTTCTTCGAGGGTCCCTAGGTGACATTAGGGGACTTTGAAGAGCCCTGATGTCTCCATAAAGATGACCTGTCATGTGAATTGGCTATCACATAGGGGGATTTCTTAGCCCCCCTATGTGATAGCAATAAAGTTTAAGTGTTCCCCCCCCCCCATATACACACGCAAACATTCGTCGGGTGCGCCTATGTGCGAAACACATGATTGCGCCCATTACGCTGCACATGTTACATATCGCCGCGAACGTCGCAGTGTGAGCAATAATTATTGGCCCATTAATCACTGATAACACTAAACTGATGAGCGGTAAAAGCTTTTAAAGCGTCGCCTATGGTCAATTTTTGGGTGTGGTCGTTTTCTGCAAATTGCGCGGGCGCGCACGATTTTAAAGCTTGACATGTTTGGTGTCTATTTACCCGACGTGACCCCGTCTTTTATATCTTACCAAAAAACTGGGGTGATATTGAATGTTTGCTAACCTTTCTCGATGTCTTTATGGAGACAGCTCAGAATTTTGTGCGGCAGAATTGGTCACAGATGCCGGAGCGAGATTAGTTTTTTTTCCTGTCCTCCTCCAGACTGGGACTTCTGGGATTGGAGAGGTGCTGAACCTTGCTGCACATGTAATGTACCATTAGGTATTGGAGGTGTAATGTGCTCCCTTCTCTCTCTCTCTGGTGTACAGGTGATCGGGATGCACTATTTCTCCCCCGTGGATAAGATGCAGCTATTGGAGATCATCACTACAGATAAAACCTCCCCGGACACCGCGGCCTCCGCTGTAGCTGTTGGGCTGAAGCAGGGAAAAGTCATCATTGTGGTGAAGGTGAGCTTATAGATGTGTTGCATGCCGTCACCTAGAGACAGGTAAAGGTCATAACAGACCTAAAATGTATTCACGCGACGGCGTAGAGCAGCGGTAGGCAACTCGGCACTCCAGCTGTTCTAGAACTACAGATCCCATGAGGCATTGCAAGACTGACCGCCACAGACATGACTCCCAGAGGCAGAGCCATAACGGGATTTGTAGTTTCATCACGGCTGGAGTGCCGGAGTTGCCTACCCCCGGTGTATAGTTTGGGACGCAGCAGTATGGAAGTCTCTGGGGCCATTCATACAGCTGTGCCTGGCAGTGAAATGTTACTTTGCATAGAAATACGTAGGACACAGTTGTTAAAGGAGAACTATGGGGGGTCAGTGTTTTCCCCATAGTTCTCCTCGGGGGTCACGGGAGGAAATAAACTAGCGTCCTCCCGTCACCCAAATAGGGTTGCCACCTTTTCTTCAAGCGAAACCCGAACACTATAGCGACGCGTGGACATTTTTTTTTTGGGAATCAGTGGTGGCTTATTCGTATGTAAATAGCGCCGCCCATTTATATGTAAATATCACAGTTGAGACTATTTTCATTGGGGGGCCAGTAGCCCCTATCTTAATTTTGGTTGCCCCTGTCTGCCTGACCTCTTGTGTCCGGGTTTCTCCTGCCATGAAACCCGGACACAGCATTCAAAACCCGAACTGTCCTGGTGAATCCTGGACAGGTGGTAACCCAAAGCTCAGTATATCGCGACCTCCTTGTATACTGAGACCGACATTACTTTTGAGATCCGCCCAGCTGCGTGATTGACAGCTGGCTCTGCCTATCTAGAGGCAGAGCCAGCTGTACCCTCCACCGTCCATTCCTCCAGTCAGTGCTGGAGGGGGGGAATCCCTGCAGGAAGCCTTGAGTGACGGTCACGGCTCTCTGCAGGGATATGATTGAGAAGTGAGTGAGCGCCGGTATGCGTTCCCTCACTTCCCTATCTATTGAGCCGACCCGTGACCGTTTCATTGTCACACGTCGGCTGGAACTATGAGGCTGAGTGATTTTCACTCCCCTCATAGTTCTCCTTTAATGTGTATGTGCATCCTATTGGCTGACGTGTCCAGATCTACAATGTGTAACCAGCATGTATCCGCTGGGTTCTATGTTCATTATTGCAATTGTTATAATGCACCGAAGAGGCTTGTGGAGTAAACATCATAAGGAAGTTGCCGGTTATCTGCATTTGTTACAATTGCGACACTAAATAAAATGTATTAGAGGAGCGTTCCTCTGCCATAGACTCCCGTGTGGTACTGTGAAGGGTTCTCGCCAGCGAAACAGCCCGAAAGTAGCGGCATTCTAATCCATCTTGTGGTGGAAATCCCATAATAATAATTGATGTAGTATTGTTCCCCACACAGCTACCTCCTCATGTATCACTGGCCCCTCCTCTTTTAGATTGTAAGCCCTCAGGGGCATTGCCCTCCTTACCATCTTGTATTGTGATTGTAATGTCTTCCTCATATTGTACAGCGCTGCGCGAACTGTTGGCGCTCTATAAATCCTCTATCATAATAATAATAATTATATATAAAATACTTTCTGACCTGGAGAATACATTGTTTTTGTCACATATTGGCAGAATAAGAGAACAGATTGCAAGAATTGTCTACTCCAAGGTGTTGTTATATTTTGATAGCCAATCAAAATCATAATCTTAAAGGAGAACTATGGGGTCGGGGCTTTTCCCCATAGTTCTCCTTAGGGTAACGGGAGGACACAAACTAGCGTCCTCCCGTCACCCTAGGCTCAGTATATAGGGAGCTACAGCTCGTGGTATACTGAGACGCCGCAGCCGGAGCGGATCCCGACATCGATGTCGAGATCCGCCCAGCTGCGTGAGTGACAGCTGGCTCCGCCTATCTAGAGGCAGAACCAGCTGTACCCGATTTTGTAGTGTCACCCCACAGCTGGGGGGGCGGAGTTTGGATGCCCCTGGTCTCGGGACGACGGGCAGTTTAGGTTTTCCTATATTTGATATGAACCTTACAAGGTAAGCCGGCCGGTGATCCTGTTCTGCAGATTGTTTATGTACACGTAGATTCACATACCTGTAAGTAGCGTGTAGACTTTTCCTGAGTTCCATCTCTTCACATGTTTACTGTCCTATCCACACGCAGGACGGGCCGGGATTTTACACCACGAGGTGCCTGGGCCCCATGATGGCCGAAGTCGTGCGCGTTCTGCAGGTCAGTGATCAACTTCCTAGCGAGATGCATGCACACACTGCATGCATGCATACACACTGCACGCATATACACACACAATGCATGCACGCACACACCATGCATGCGCGCACAATGCATTCATACACACGCACACACAATGCATGCACACCCACACATGCACAATGCATACACACACAATTTATCCATACACACGCGTACACAATGCATTCATACACACGCACACAATGCAGGCATATACACGCACACAATGACTACAAATACGCATACACACATACACACACAATGCATACAAATACGCATACACACATGCATACATATACACACTGCACGCATATACACACACACCATGCATGAGCACACAATGCATTCATACACACGCACACACAATGCATGCACACCCACACACAATGCATGCACACCCACACACGCACAATGCATCCATACACACGCACACACAATGCATCCATACACACGCGCACACACAATGCATCCATACACACGCACACACAATGCATCCATACACACGCGCACACACAATGCATCCATACACACGCACACAATGCAGGCATATACACACACACACACAATGAATGCGCACACACACACATTATTGTAACCTTCTGGTTTGTATTTCCTCTATCAGGAAGGCGTGTCCCCCAAGAAGTTGGACGCGCTCTCCACCGGGTTCGGGTTCCCTGTGGGCGCCTCCACTCTGGCCGATGAAGTAGGGATCGATGTGGCGGCTCACGTGGCGGAAGATCTGGGAAAAGCCTTCGGCGAGCGCTTCGGAGGAGGGAACATCGACTTGTTGAAGGCCATGGTGCAAAAGGGATTTCTGGGTAAGCGTTGGGACTCTCTGTGTGTGCCGTGACCTGTGTACACCAGGCGGTATATTCATATTTCATGATTGTCCGGCGTTCCGATGTATGTTCTCCATCAGAGCGCATCATAGCTTGCTGTCCATC